TATTGTACTATGGAGGATGGGATTTCTACAGACTTGTAGATTAGCAAGACCTTAAGTCCTGTATTTCTCCTCTCTATAATCACATTTTCATTTTCTTAGTTTCTGTGACATATTGTATATCTCCCAGATATAATTATCTGACAGAATAATTGAATATTCATAACACTAACATTTATGTAAGTTAACTCTAAGATTTAATGAACCCTTATTTGAACTAGTGTCATCTGGTGCAGTACAGCTTGATTTTGGTCTCAACAGCACATGTCTTTAGAATCACTTGTAGATATCTAATACCTGTGGTAGTGGTGGAAGTGAAAAAAACAAACCAACCAGAGCTATTGACCATGAAAAGCAATGTAAGCAGCACTATTAGTTGAGAGAACACATTGTAGAACTGGATAGAATTTGCATTAGTACATTTTGCAACGGGCTGCTACCCTCAAAATGTTAGAAGGAAAAATGTAAGTATTTTGAATGCCGAATCCCCACAACAGCCAGATGCCATATGAGTAGGTCTCACTTTTGCCATTTTTAAGGGACACTGTTGGGCCCGGTCCTTCTGATTTTAATCAAGTACAATTCCTGTCTTAGTAATGATATCCATGTGACTTTGGCTGGGTAAGGATCACAAGACTGGGTCCATTTTGAAACCTGCTACTGGATAATGAGGACTATTGTGCAGCTTGATGACCATAATCTGCATTAGGAGTAAGGGGAAGAATTATGCCTTAGGGATCCAGATTATTCAGGGAAGTAGAGACGAGGATATTATACTGCCCTTTTAAGAGGTTGTACAGAACACTTTCTTTAGGAGGAGGTGGGGAGTGGGCACAACACAGCTTCTTGAGTGCAAAGACTACCATTTAACCCATCTTTTAACAGGAGGTACATAGATACTCCTTACATACACTCTCCCCCCATTGTTGTAACCTGTTCATGGTTGGGTACAATCTGATCTTGAATGACTGAGAGTCTCTTGTGTCCAGCCATATGATCAAAATAATGAGCTTGAAGGTCATAGGAAATAATATTTAGAGATCAGTAAGGAAGTGAAATGGAGAAAGCCCCTACTAAGAACTGTTATATAGTATTTTTCATTAATTAACCAGTAAGCTTACAAAAATTGTAGTGTGTTGTACAATTTGTTGTTGTTTTTTCATTTAAGTATATTTTTGACAAAAAAATTTTTTTCAGCCAAAGAAATTGTCCATGTTTTTGGGTAGAAAAAAATGGCAACTGAAAACAAAACCAAAAAGTCAGTAAAAATGTTCTGGCTTTCTTAAGGTATGTCGACACTTGCCCCCTACTTCAAAGAAGGGAGGCAAATGAAGCATACCGAAGTTGCAAATCAAGCCCTGGATTTAAATACTCCACGCTCGATTTGCATGTTCCCGGCCGGTCGCCATTTTAGAAATTCACTAGACCAAAGTAACTGCCCACGTCTACACGCAGCAGTGAAACGGGAGTCCGATTTAAAGCCCAAATTCGAATTAGCTGGTATTCTTCCTGCAATGAGGCTTACCAGCTAATTCGAATTAGGGGCTTTAAATTGGACTCCCGTTTCACTGCCGCGTGTAGTTACTCCGGGCAAGTGAATTTCTAAATGGCGACCGGCCAGGAACATGCAAATCAAGCGCAGGACATTTAAATCCTGGGCTTGATTTGCAACTTCAGTATGCTTCATTTGCTTCCCTACTTCGAAGTAGGGGGCAAGTATAGACATGCCCATATAGACTTTCTGCCTTTTGGAAAAAAATCTAGTGTCAGTTTCAGCAGAAGTGAAACATTTTTTATTGAAAATGTTTTTGAAAACCAAAACACTTTTTGAATTTATTTGGTGAAAAAAATCACTGAAATTATGGATATCTTTGGAAAACTGATATATTGTAAAAGAATTCCTGCAAAAATACATTGGGATTTTACAATTCATTCCAGTGTTTTGGAACATTGCTACAGAAAACTGTAGTGATTTTTTTTTGTAGTGCATTTTGTAAAAATAATCATCTTAACCGTTTGAGTGAAAAATGCTTCATAAACTGCTCAGATGATTAACCTAAAATAAGTACATCTTAGTGTGTAGACTACAATCTTATAAAACCAATACAAAGATAACACCGGCTCTGATTTTACTCTTCTTACTTCTATAAATTAGACATATTTACAATATAGAATATATAATGATTCATGATTGCTCCTTCTGTAATGTACCAGCATGAGCTGAACATATTTTCATCCAATAACCAAAATTATAAATATTTAATGAACACTCAAATATATTTTTCAAGCCATGAATAAATTATAAAGTAATTAAAGACTATTGATACCATTATAATTTGCTGTTTTCAAACAAAATAAAAGTGATGAAAATCATTGACAAAAATTGATTTTCAATATTTCAAAAACAATTTTAATTTTGAAATTGATTTTTAATCTGTAACTTTTACTTTCTGTTTGTACAGCAAGCTTTGCTTAGTTGTGCGCTGAAAATAACCACAAATAAAAGACCTGCATCATACTATTATTGAAAAAAAAAAGAACTATACCTTTTCACTAGATTTCCTTATATCATAGTCTAGAAGGAATAAAATATATAATGTGTGTGTGTGTATATATATTATATTTATATAAAATAATGAGTTACCTGTGCATATACACCATCTATAATGCAAAACAGTAAGTGGCCCAAATAATTATTCAAAACAATCAGAGAGACTATAAAAATAAATTATGGGAACAATCCTGACTGTCTTACTCCCTATTGCAAGTGGGGCTGTACACATGAGAAAAGTTCTGTATTGCCAACACCAAGCATTCAAAAATCAGAGTTAGGCTCTTCAAAATCATGAGGTCAGTCTAAAAAATGATATAAAAAAGGAATAAATTTGTCATGTGTCTTAAATTTTTAGGGCCCAGTTGGATCCCACAATCATTTTTTTTTCAGCCATAAGAGGAAATAATTTGATTGTTTAAAATAATGAAAGCTGGGACTTTTTTTTATATTCACATTACTGTAAGAGCTGGGGCTTTAAGGAATATATGAAGTAGCAAGAACGCTGGCAACCCTAAGTAAAGGCCATCCCCTGCAGGATTAAGCACCATGACTGCACATAGAGCCATGGCTCCCTAACAAAGAAAAGATTTGCACACATAGCTTATGTTTTGTTACACTCCATTCTGCACTGATATGGAGCTTCCTGGGGGATTCAGGAAAGGTAGGAGGAAGGGTTCACTCCGAATAGCTAATTACAAAAGCAAAATTCAATACACAAAATCTAAAGGAAAGAAGAGGGCTGGAAACATAGGTGAAATGCCACAGGGTAGCATTCACTTTGATGCCAGTTGTTTTGTCTATGATACATTAAAATAGTTACCGTAGTAAGTGCTGCCTCATTTGTTATTCATGTCATTTTGAAGATGCAAAAGCTATTAAAAAGAGGAGTAAAAAACCCAAAATAGACTTAGAAGCATAGTGTCCTTTTTGTTGAATGGTGTATAGGAAAAAATATGCCAGATTAAACTAATTCTTTTTCAAACTCTAATTGTTCTTTTACTACTTCTAGGTGGATTTTATTTTTCTTTATTCCTTTTTTATTTTATAGAACCTCTTTGTCAAAAAATAAAGGGTTCAGGAAGAGGAGGAAAAGGATAATTGTAGGTGCAAAGGAGTGGTGGAGATCTAGGTTAGGTCCATTTTCTCCTGTACCAGTGACTGGTTGGTGAAAGTATAGCAAAATTTGGGGCTGATATTTTATAAAATAAAGCCAGACATAAATTCTACCTGGCATAATTTAATCCAGCATTTCTCAAACTGTGGGTCCCGATCCCCCAGGGGGTTGCGAGCAACTGAGAGTGGGGTTGCAGCAACTGAGAGGGGGGGTGCAGTATAACAAGTTTGAGAACCCCTGATTTAATCGGTCTTTCTAAAGGCAAAAAGGAAACATTTCCCCAAGATTATATTTAATTTTCATGCATATATGTATGTACTTGGGTAAGTCCTAACCAAACATAGCTAGATTATATTGGGGTTCATTAATTTTCTGTTACTGCAGCAAGGTAATGATTTACAATGAAGATTACAAAACATTGATCTGCAGCAAATTACTGAATCTGTGGCTAATGATCAGTCCCACAGGTTTCAGCTAAAATCAAGTTCAATTTGTATTTTCATTTCACATAAGATAACATTGCTTAATTTGTAGGAAGGAGATCTTTGAAAGTTAACAAAAGGAAAGAGTTTCATCTTCTGAGGGTTTTACATGATAGTTGTAAAATTTCAATAGGTGGACTGTTTCAAGGTTTGACAGCATCAGCAGAGAAATATATTACCCCTTCCTAGTCTTACGCACACTTTACATGTGAAGTTCTAAATCTGCCTCTCTAGAATGCAATTAACATCCAAAAGGCAAAAAGAAAAGCTGATAAGTGGCATTCAGCTTTTGATACCTGGAGCACTAACCTGTCTTGGTGGATATTTTTTAGACACACAATAAAGTGCAGCCAAATGGCAACAGCATTATTTGGATTCACAGAAATAATTGTCCTAAGCTGAAATCTCTCCTGTATGAAAAAATAGCAAAGGCAAAACCTCTATGGATTGAGTGACAGGATTTCCAGTGGATTATTCGGAACCAAAAATGGAAATAGAGGTAATAAATTGATGGACCAAGCTCCAAAATAGTATTATTACCATGGAGGACATTAAAGTTGGTAGCCTGTATTTCACAAGGCTATTAATAGAAATTACAGAAGACTTCCAATAATCCAGAACCTATGGGTCCTAGGTGGTGACGGATTATCAGATATTTAATTTTCAGGAGGTACTATAAGATGGTTATATATATACTGTATACATTATATACTGTATATAAAGTGCTCTTAACCCTTTTTATTGTACATACTGTATACAGTATACTGTAATGTTTTCGGTTTTTTAAGCCTTTTTTACCCTTTTTGCTAAGTTCAGCTGCTGCCGCTGTTACCTTGTGACTCATTTTTTGCTGAAGCTCACTCACTAGGCTCTTGCCATTTTGATGCCGGACTATCAGGAGTGCCGGACTATTGGATGCCGGACTATTGGAGTTTTACTGTATATCAGTTTGGGCAACAGAACTATATTTCAGTCAATAAATTCAAATCCTGTCAGTTAATGCATAGACTCAGATTAACTTAACTCGTAAATACATTATATTGGTGTTTACAAAAGGAGCAATGGAACTGGCAGGCTCTAGTAATGGAGTGTTGAATCATCCCACTCCAGCTGCTCTTGCCTGCTGGCATTCTGTTTCTTCCCCTCATTTCCAATTTCTTCTTCCTCCTCTTCTTCCTCTTCTTCCTCTTCACTTTCCCCTGAATCATCACTGGTTGTATCTTCCTCTTCCTCTTCCTCTTCCACCTCCTCCTCACTCTCTTCTTCTACATGTTGAGGCTCTTCGTATTTCTAGATTGTTAGAAAACACAGAGAAGGAAAGGACTTAGGGAAACAAAGTAATTGAACCAATCCTTTAATACCTCTTGTAACACCATTGAAAATACTTGTGTAATGGGTGATGCCACAAACTAATTGTTAATATCCTGCCAAAGTCTGATTTTCATAGCTACCTGGTTATTAGGGGGTTAAACAGAATAAAGTACAAGGTAAATTCTAAACATTGGAATGATTGTAACAAAAATGGAGTATGGGTAAATGACTATCATTGCTTAGCAAAGCTACTCGTGGTTAGCTCTTTTAACTTTTGCTCATTTGTCTGTTTCTCTAAACAGGTTCTGATCTTTCTGGAACCTCTGCCATGACCACCTCTTGCCTTCAGGTTGTCAATATTTAGTACCACCACATTTTAAAATGGTCAAATTGCATTTTTGTGGTGTTTTAAATCGCAAGTGTCTTAGCTGGGCAGGAAATCATAGGACAATGTTCCTCTCCCCCTTAAGCAAATTTTTCACCATTCCATTAAATAATAGTTATGTACATTGATTAATAAAATAATAAGCAGAAGTCCAAAAATAGTAATTGTCATCATTTTTTGTATTATAGTTGTGCCTAGAGATCTTAGCTGAGACTGTGAGTGATTGTGCTAGAGGTTGTACACACATACAAATCCTGCCCTGAAGAGAGATCACACAAAGTAGCAATCTAAATAAGTGGTTTTTTTTTTTTTTAAAAGCAGTAACTAAGGACTTGTCTTCACTACCTCAAAGATCAACGCTGCAGTGATTGATCTTCCAGTGTTAGAATAAGTGGGTCTAGTGAAGACCTGCTAAATTGAACACTGATGGTCCCCATTGACTCTGATATTCCTCACAGTCGTGAGGAAAGTCTCCCGTTGACCTCCCACTGTGGGGCTGCCCCAAAAAATTGATGTAAGGTACATCAGTTCCAGCTATGCAATTGTTGTAGGTGGAATTGTGTATCTTACATACATTTTCTCCACCAACATAGACCTGGCCTAAGTAAACTACCATCTGAAATACTAACTCCTGGAAGTGCCATGGCAATTCAGCTTTTCTGCATACCTCCATGGGATTGACAGTAATGGTTAGAGCAGAATCATCCCAATCCATTTCATTTTCTTTACTTCCTTCATTTTCAGTAGAGCTGTGGTGATGAGAAGTTCGAATTCTGTAGATGCCCAAGGCTATGATGAAGACTAGTATGCTGACACACATTATTATAACAATGGTGGCCACGCTTGGAACAACTGAAAAAAAATGGAATAATTTCTCTACAGATTTGCCTCCATGCCACTAAGTACATTCTTTCTTCTCTATTCTTTCTTTCTTTATACTGAGATCCTACAAATTGCACATCACTAGTGATATTTCCCATAATTACGTTCAGTGATGACATGTGGCAAGAACAATGTAGAACAACTCAGTGTGAGACATGATGTCTGTTGATGCAAGAAGTTTTAATTGTCCATCATCTATATTGTCCCTTTCTGCTAAGGGAGAAATGTTCCCAGGAAAATAGTTAGAGAAGTAACTTCATTTGTGAAAATAACTGATGTCTGAAATTCTTTCATTTGCCAGTTTTATTTTTAAACTTTCTAGTCTCTATGCTAAAAAAGAGCTGACCACACAAATGCCAATAGCGTATTCTTTAACTGAGGTGCAGCTCCTCAGGAAGACTGAAAGGAACAAATGTTGCATCTATGCAATGACTTATTTTGGCTTGCCCAGGGTGGGGACTCTGTCGTAACTTCATAATTTAGGTTAATGTCTTCACTGAACTGAGTCACAACAGAAACATTGACAGCCCCTTAAACATAATAAGCACTTTCCATATAGTTAATACCTGAGCTATGAATGCTGTTTACGCTTTCCTCTGGGTGATGAATAGACTGGAGAAACTGTGGCTGTATTACCAAGTGACTTACATGGTCCATAAAATTAGAGTTGGAGTTGTGTAGAATATTAACCTGGAATAACAAAAGAACAAAACTCTGACACTACAAAATACTGAAAACTCCAATATCATGCCTTCTGGTGCCTGAAAATGTGATTTGAAGTTTATCATCAGCCAAAAATATGAAACGGATCTCACTAGAAGATTGCTATTGGAGACAAGATTAATTGTCTCCCACACCAGGCAACATATCCTATTTGTTGTTGTTGTTGATGATGATTGATTGATTGATTGATTGATTATTATCAACATCATCATCATCTTTAACAGGGACAGACTTGGGCATTTGTAAAGCCCTCATCAGTTTTGGGTGGAATATCCTAAAGAACTCTAGAGAATTCTCTGAACTACTCTCAGTTAAGGACATTAAGAGGCGGGTAATTGAGTAATCGTTTAGTCGATACACTTTGTATCGACTACACGATTACTCTATAAGGGAAGTAGTGATTAGTTCTGGCTCATGCCAGTGCTACCCCCACTGCTGCTCTGCAGTTTAAATGTAGTATCAGCTGGGTGTGCAGGCATGAGCTGAGGCAGAGCTGGGACCACTGTGGCTCTGCAGTTTAAATGTACATTTAAAATGCTGAGCTGCAGCAGTCCCAGGCTGGTGCGAGCTGGGACTGAGCCAGGCTCTCTGTCCCAGTTAGCACTGGGTCCAGCAGCTCCTGTCCGTGGCCAGCCCCAGCCACAGTGGAGATAGTGCTGGGGGAATTGGCTTTTAAGCCGGCTCCGTCCAGCACCGGCTCCTGTTTCTTTCTGCCACCATTACCTCTGATAAAGAGGCAAGTGGGGGAAGTGAGTAGCTGAGTAGTTGACTTGACTACCTGGTAAGCTTAGGCTCGATTACTCACTTAAATCCCATGTCTCAGTGCAAGCAGAGCCCCCTGTTTGAACACAATGCAAGCTCCCTGTTTTACTCCAGGTTAAGTAAGTAACAAATGCAGAATGTGTCTTTGGCTCACTGAGCTTTCTTCTACCCTGCTTCTCTGGGCAATGCTATAGTAAGTGGGGAGTCTTGCAGTGTGATCTGAAATTGCTGTAAGTAGCAATTGACAGGGTTACACAGGGAGCAGACTGAGTAACTGGTAACAAATTAAAATGCAATGAATAGTCCTGCAGCCCCTTGGAAACTAACAAAAAAGTCTATTAGTTGTTTTTTAAGGTTTTTTTTTCTATTACAGACAAACACGGCTACCCCTCTGAAACTTGGTAAGTGGTAAGAGCACAGCTTGATTTGCAGAACCCAGTTTACATTTACAGGGCTACAACTAGACTCAGCGTTATTTCTTGCAAACCCTGACACATTCTGAAAATCATTGAGATCCCAAAATGGAACTCTCCAATGACACATTAAAAGTCAGTTGTCACAGTGCAACTACATTTGAAAATTGTCCTGATGGAAGCCCAAAGAATCATCAATATGGTGCTAAGGAAAATGTTTCACAAATGTAAGAATTTATGGCAGTTCTGACTATGCAATATAACTGGTGTGCTTGATGCTTGTTCTTGCTTAAAATGAAACATGGGCCCCAGATAATTTTCAAACACTGAGAAAGATGAGCAATACATCCAAATATTAATTATATGTTCCACTTGCCAATGGAAAATAGCATCTTTTGTAATCAGTCCTCAGATTTTACAAAGATCAAAGATTTTTCTCACGACAGCACCTGTTGTATTCTATTTGTTTTCTCTCATGAAATGTACTTCTCTAAAGGTTTCTTTAAAGAAGGAAAGGAGGAATGTAAAACTTAGCCCAAAGAAAATCTGCTAACCCTTTCTTTTCTCATAGTCCATTTAAATACTAACAATGACACGAGGAGGAGCACTCAGAAAGGAAAGCAAAAGGCAGAGTAGAGGTGACAGCAATATAGTTAAAGCTCATGCATTTTTTTAAATGTCAGTTATAATTTATTTTTAATGGCCTAATTATAGGATCTCTGGGCCTCTTCCTCTACTACTCTGTAGTGTATCCAGTCATATACTCTTGTGAAAGTTGGATAAAAAATGCTATCAAGTTCCAAAAAATGTCCCTCTGCAATAGAGTGTGTTCACCCTTTCAGGAAAACTCCAGGCTCAACAAAAGAATTCTGGGAATTGACAGTTGGACAGGATATAAGACACAATCTTTCTTCAGCATGAGAAAGAGAGATGGGGAGTGTGAAGGGGAAGGTGGCAGGCTGGGGAGATGTTGAAGCTAGTAAGTTAGAAGGAACTGTGGAAGGGCTAGTCTAGAAAAGGTGGATGTATAATAGTATAAAGAACCCAAGGGAAATGAGAGTTCTGAGACTTTTGCAAAAAGCCTGGGGAAGGACAGAACTGAGGAAGGTAGCCAAGGGATGTGGAGTACCCATGGAAGGGTATACTAGAAATAGCCATGTCCCAGCTGGAAAATCAAGGGATCACCAGGGTGAAAGAAGAACAGGTCACTAACTGATTAATAACTGACAAATTTGGGGCTCATCACCAGGCTTCCAAACAGTGAGAGCCATCCTGGTGTCAATTCCCTGCAATGTGGAAAGGGAAGAATGGTAGATCTTCAAGATTTGGGGTTCATCACCAGGGCTTCCAAACAGTGAGAGCCATCCTGATGTCAATTCCCTGCAATATGGAAAGGGAAGAATGGTAGATCTTCAAAGAAGGTCTGTGGCTCAAAAGGAGAGTCTAGATGAAGTGTATTGCATTCCAGAGACAGGAAAGATAGACAGAAAATCTAGTGATCCAATAATGGGACTACATGGAACTTTTGAGTGGGTTTTTCATTTGGACTCTAGTTTGGGACTTCAGTTACCCCAGAAAATATGGAATCTTTCTGAGCTAGCTGGATTAGATTACTCACTGTGCCAGCTCAGAATTAGATTGAAGTATAGTTGGAAAAGGAAAATTTATGCAGTAACCACTTAATAATGGGACACATCTGACCACAAAAAACAGTCCATATTGTTTTCCTTCCTTCCTCTTCCACCAAAAAAAAGTCTATTTGAATAAACATGCCTTGTAGAGTGACTTAAAAGAAAACAAATATAGGTTGTTTTAGATCTTGGGGAGGGAGAAGGAGGAATAAAAAACCGGCCCTGGTGGGCCACCACCACTATGTTTACCTGCGCCTCTGCCGGTATATAGGATCACAGCTTTGGTTGTCCATGAATCACTTTTCACAGCCAATGTGACTGGTGGAAAGCATCGCAGACCAGGATGCCACTTCCTGTCACTCACATTGGCTGCAAATAGTGACTCGTGGCCAACGATAGCTGTGATTCTCCGATACCTGAGGAGGTGCAGGTAAACATGGAGGTGGGTGCCCACCAGGGACTTACCCTGTGGACTGGATCCAACCCGCAGGTTGGAATTTGCCCGTCTTTTAGATGAAGGGTGGGAACTGCAATTTAAAGCACCTTGTGAAAAATATGCAAATATTTCCCTTTCATTTATAGCATCTAGCTCTAGCTCTTGAATCTCCTCTGACTAACTGTAGCTCTATTGTGCAGGAAGAGAGGCAGTCTGTCATGTAGGCAGTCCTCATGCCATTCAAAATCAATGCCAATATTTTGAATTCCTCCCACAATTTTATCCTGTGCACTAGCTTTGTTTCCAGATTACTTGAAGGTGTAGCTCGAAGCCAAGTGATATCTATTGCAAATCATGGCTCACAATTTTATCCTGTGCACTAGCTTCGTTTCCAGATTACTTGAAGGTGTAGCTCCAATGCTGAATGTATTGCAGTAATCTAATCTTGAGGTGATGTGGCAGTGGCTGGCAACCACAAATACTGCCTCTCAATAAAGCCACATTCTTCTGACCAAGTTGAAAAACAGCCTTCCAAGACACTTTTATTTTTCCCTGGCTGTTTAGCAGTAGCTGAGGATCCAAGAAGTGCCTCAACTTCCAAATTCTATTAAAAAAGGAGTTGTACAATGTGAATAAGAAGGGCAGATAAAATCCTTGCTCTAACTTCCAATTGTTTCTTCCAACCTACCAACAGCAAATCAGTTGGTAGCTCCTCTGCCAGAGGATGCTACTGTCAAAAGTTTCTGTTGTTCATAACTGAGAAATTGGAGGCATAGAGTGTGAAATAGTCGAGGGACAGGCATAGAAACACTTAAAGAGAAGTGCTGAAGCAGTTTGGTGTCTGTGAGCAAAGCACTTGAGGAACTTTTGAGAAGAGATGAAGCTGTAGAGTCAACCAGACTTGATAAAAGGAGAAAGACAGACTATAGGCACAGCAGCAGCCTGAATTTGAAATATTTTCTAAATGCAGGATTTCATCAGAACTTAAAAATTAAAAAGAAACTATGCTAATTGTTCTTTGTGGCATTAAAACTAGGGATGTCAAAATGCAGTTCCTTTGGTAAATGTGTAACCACTTGCATTTTTTGGTGGTTATGTTTTCATATGGGGGAGGCGTCTCTGCGGCTCCTTTCTCCCCTCATCCCTATGCTACTGCTGCTGTTGACTAGTCGATAGGCCCTTCCACGTTCCGTCTTTGAAATGTAAAAGACTCCCCAGCTGACTCTGGGCTCAGTGCGGCAGGCCAGCTTTGAAATGTACAAGAGTTCTGCACTCGTCCCAGACTCCATGCTGCGCTTCCTCTTTGAAATGCACAAGAGTCCCCGCTGGGGACTCTTGCACATTTCAAATCTAGCTCGCCACATCGAGCCGGGGGTCAACTGGGGAGTCCCTAGCTGATCCCGGACTCCAAGAGGCACTGTCACTTTGAAATGCTGCACAGAGACGGGGTGATCTGTAAAGTCCCAAGCTGATCCTGGGCTCCACCCCACATTTCAAAGTGACAGCACCTCACTGGGTCCAGGGTTAGCAGCTGATCCTGGGCTCAGTGCAGCGCTGCTGCTTTGAAATGCCGTGAAGAGTCCTGGGCTCTGCATGGCATTTCAAAGTGGCTTGGAGTCTGGGATCAGCTGTAGACTCCCCAGCTGATCCTGGGCTCCATGTGGCGCTGCGACTTTGAAATGCTGCGGTGGCGTTTCAACGGAGCAGCACCGCACACCTAGCTTCAGACTCCGTGCAGTGCTGCTGCTTTGACCTTCCTCTTTATTCCCCCCCTCTTGCTGCCTCTATCTCATAGGGTATGTCTACACTACCCTCCTAGTTCGAACTAGCGGGGTAATGTAGGCATACCGCACTTGCAAATGAAGCCCAGGATTTGAATTTCCAGGGCTTCATTTGCATAAGTGGGGAGCCGCCATTTTTAAAACCCCGCTGGTTCGAACCCCGTGCTGCGCGGCTACATGGGGCTCGAACTAGGTAGTTCGGACTAGGCTTCCTATTCCGAACTACCGGTACACCTCGTTCCACGTTCCACGAGGTGTACCGGTAGTTCGGAATAGGAAGCCTAGTCCGAACTACCTAGTTCGAGCCCCGTGTAGCCG